TCATTTCAAACAAGATGGAAAGTTCAAACGAGAGAGAAATGTCTCGCTTCCAAACCTTGATAATACTGTTCTACACACCTTTTACTATATAAGTGGCTTATCTTTACTAATTTGAGGGTGTTGACTATTAAAGTGGCATTAAAAAATTTCAATTACCTCTCGTTAGACTAGAAGAGAAACACGCTAATGTGACAATCAAAACCGTGAAAAACAACCTTATATTTAGCGTAGGTATAATGAAACACTCAATCGATTTCGAGGGCAGCTAAAGGTCCCTCCTCATCAGGAGAAAGAAATACATAGAAAGAAGAAAATAGGAATCACAGAAACACGTGGTGCTTATCAGCACTGCACGTCGTTATAACTAGATTTTTAATCAGAGTTGCACTGGCCGCCTACTTTTACTGAGCCAGGCTGTCTGATCAAGCATAAAGAAATATTAGCGAAGTTTAAAATAGGGAGCGAGGGGCAAATGCACATTACGCTCAAAATCTGAACTTCAAATAATGGAAAGCAACCACTGAACGGATTTTTATACCCTCTGGTAGTACCAAGTGCGAGGAGGTAACGCCATCTATCGGCAAAAATAATTGAATTAAGACAGTAGAATTTTAAAGGCATTAGGAAGGACTGGATTGGACTTCAAATCATTAACTAAACTTTCTAAATCTTTGTGAATGTGAAAAGCCTCAAGAAAATCCAATTCGCCTATGGAAGAAGCCTTTTGGATGATTTTTGCAGACCCAAAATCAAAATTATGGTTAAAAGTCCAGCTATGATACGCTATTGAAGACTTGTTAATTTCCCCTTTTTTGACATAAGATTCATGTTCCTTGATACGAAACTTCAACGCTCTTTTTGTTTGGCCAATATATCTTAAACCACACTGACATGATATACTATAAATTCCCCAAGAATTCAAGACAGAAACGCAATCTTTTAGAATCGAAGGGTGAATTTTATTAATAGGGGAGAAACCGACTTGAAAATTGAATTTCTGGAGAATCCGTGCAATTTTATAGCTAACAGAAGGATAAAATGGAAGCACGACAAGGTCATTGATATTATTTCTAACAGTGGAATGTCTTCTTTGATGGGAATCTGAAAATTTTTTTTGACGGCTTTATCAATAATCACGGGAGAAAATCCACGGTCAATCGCAACTGCTCTCAAATAATTAAGTTCATTGGTAAGCAAAGATTCAGAGGAACAAACTTTTAGCGCGCGGAAAACATAATAGTAAAAAGAAGCCATTTTTTGCTTAACAGGGTGGCATGACTTGGCATGGGGTGGTAAACAAACTGCAAAGGGTTTACGGTACACAGTGGTGCTAAAATCGGTTTCATTGCGGATTATAAGAATATCGAGGAAGGGGAGGGAATTGTTGGATTCAATTTCAAGAGTGAATTGGATGGCTGGATCAATTGAATTCATAATAGATAGAATCTCGGATAAATCCTCTTTATAACCGTCAAAAAGTGCGAAAGTGTCGTCAACATACCGAATCCAAAGACGAAAAGATAATTTATCAAATAATTTCATCTCAAAATAGTGCATATAAATGTCAGCAAGTACCGGACTGAGAGGATTACCCATAGCCAATCCTTCAACTTGACGAAAATATGCATTTTGGAAAACAAAGTGGGTTTGACTTAGAGAAACTTTAGTAAGCGAAACCAACTCATTAATTTCAGTATGTGTGAAGTGAAATTCCCGAAGCCTAGTTTCAAGACAATTTAGTGCTCCTTCGACCGGAACATTAGTAAACAATGATTTGACATCAAATGAAACCATAATGGAACGAAGTGGGGAAATATTTTTAAGTTTATCAATGACTTCAACAGAATTTTTTACAGTGTGAATATTGTTATCAAGTAGAGGAGAAAATCTGGAAACTAAATATTTGGCCAAAGGATATGAAGCAGTACCTATGTTGGAAACAATTGGTCGAAAAGGAATACCGGTTTTGTGGACTTTTGGAAGAGCATAAAGTCTAGCGCAATTAGTAATAGGCGGAATAAGTGATTTCTTCAACTGAGTTGGCAGAATGTGGGAAGATTTAATAGCACTTTTTACTTTCATGAGGTCCGAAGTTGAAGGATCTTTAGGGATCGAGCAGTATGGGCCTTCATTTATCAATTTAGAGACTCCAGTAATATATGTGTGTTTGTCCATAACAACGATCTGTCCGCCCTTATCAGCTTTAGAGATAATGATATTAGTATCAGAATTAATTTCACGTAAGATCTCATTTTCCTTTTTGCTAAGATTAGAACCCAAAGATTTATTGTTAAAATTAACGTTATGAGTAATTAGGTGGCGGATTGTATCCTTCTGCGTTTCCGAAATTTTGGAGAATTTAAAGGCTTTCTCTATAGGGGCGATGATTTGAGGAATTGAAGGTTTAGATGTCTTTGAAAAGTTGAAATTATATTTTAATACTTTTAACTGATCCTCCGAAAGATTCCTATTGGAGATATTAAACGATGGAGTTAACGTTTACAGTGGGAAGATCAGCTAGATAATTGGGACTATCCGACTGGTGTGTGAGTTTTTGGAATTTAGAAATGAGCACATTTTTATGCCGTTGACAAACGGTATCGGTTCTAGACCAGGATGTATGTTCAAATGAGGAAAACTTTTCAGTGGAATTAGCAGTTTTTAAATGGAGGTAATATAATTCAAATTCAATTTTAGATAAACGTTTGCGTGTGTCCCTTATAATGTGACGAAGAAGTGCCAATTTGAATTTATGCAAAATTTTTGAAACGTGAACGAAAGCTTTAAGGCTACATTTCACATGTATAAATTTGGGAATGAAATTTTGATGTTTGCATTTAAGTAGAAACTGTAGATGATTCAAGAATTTCGTACGCTTAAGGCGTAACTTACAAAATCGGTTCCTGTCAGTGGACATATTGTGAAAAGGGCACAAGCAAGAAACAAGTGAACAAAAGAAATGTAATTCCGAAAGTCCAAACAAGTAATTACTTATAACATGAAAAAAACACCAATAAATAATGAAGACAATTTTCATCAACAAATGACAAAAACATTCCAAAAGGAGAGAAACATCCAATACTGAAAAACCAATAGCCACGTGGAAAGAAGCAACGAAAGTCAAAATCGTGCACGTGGTAAACCGAAAAAATATAGAATTACCTCGAAAAAAATGATTAAAAATCTAGTTATAACGACGTGCAGTGCTGATAAGCACCACGTGTTTCTGTGATTCCTATTTTCTTCTTTCTATGTATTTCTTTCTCCTGATGAGGAGGGACCTTTAGCTGCCCTCGAAATCGATTGAGTGTTTCATTATACCTACGCTAAATATAAGGTTGTTTTTCACGGTTTTGATTACCTCTCGTTACTCCAGCTTAAATACATTAGTGCCTTTAATTAACGTTAAAAATAACAATGCATGAATAATGTGTTTTTATCATTGGAGCTGAAGACAATGGTCCCCACTGTGTGAAAGCTACAGATAAATGTAAACAAAAGTTTCGACTGCTTTGAGACATCAGAATAAAAACATTAAAACATTCCAAACTTTCAGAACATTTCTCATTTCATATGGTTTCGAAACAAACTATCAAATCACAACCAAAAACAAAATAACATAGCAGCATAACATTCCACAATACTCCACTACCTCATTTCCAGTATCCTCGAAAACATTCAGTCTTTCTCTATAAGCATCCGTTCTCCAAACAACCTCTAGATTTTTGTGTTGCGATTTTTGTATCGGATTTTTGCGCTGTATATGTGTTATGGTGTTGAGATGCTAATAAAACTCACATCATGTACCTGCGTGAATAAGCTAAATGATTTTACTATATATTCAGAGGAGGATCGTTTAAATCAAGAGAAAGTGCCATTACTCCTGAAACAAGGAAAACTTACTTTTCAGACTTTATATCCAAAGTTGGGCGATCTTTATTTCAATTATGCGTCATCCTCAAAATACAAGCAAAGCATCTCTTATGAATGTTTAAATATAGAATGAATTTTACTGTAACATATAAACAAGAGCTAATTTTAAAAAATGTAGCACGAATTCGAGTTCAAGAAATTAATTATTGAAAGTTTACATAATATCCTTATTTCAATTAAGCTGAATCCTCAAAATACTAGCAAAACATTCTTTATGGGTCTTAAAATGTAATACTGATTTTTTGTAACTCTTAAACAAGAGCAAATAATAGAAAATAAATTGCATATTCGTGATCAGGAAGTGAAATTTAGAAAAAACAAATATTTTATTTCTGTAACAGACAAACGGTGAAAGTTTATAGAACTGAGTAATGAATTTATTGTTTATGAATCTATAGTTCTATAGTTATTAGATGATTTATGTAGTATCTGCATATTTATAATTTCCTATTAAGATAATAGCTATCGTATAATTCATATTAAACTTAACAGAACTTTAAATCTGCTTTTAAATCAAGCTCAGTTCGTTTAATATACCTATTTGTAATTTGCATAGTTACTATTATTTTAAATTTACAAGCTGTGACTGTAATACGTAAGTAGGCAATAATGGGTCTATAAAGTGTAGGATTAATAGTGTGAAAAGGCAGGGCATTTATATTTCCATACAAAACTCCAAAGAATTATTTATTCAGCTTACTACGGTATTTTTAAGTTTTAAAAAGAGAAAACACTTCTAACAGCTCTGCAATCGTAAATGGCAACGGAAACTGAAGGCATTTATGAAAAATGTCCCATATTCTCCCCTCGTATCTTAACGGCTAATAAATTTCACAACTTATGACTGCTGTCTTATATTATACTGTTGATATATGTGCCTTTTCCCACCATTACTCAGTTTCATCACGTACTTGGTTTTTGCCCCTTGGGGTACGCGAACCGCAGGTTAGAAACTACGGTATAACAGGTATGATTTCCATATAACTTAATGATTGAATATTACATACATTTTTTAATGCTGACTTTTTCCTGCGTTTTTTATTTTTACTCTATTTTATTTTTTTCAGTGATCTTAGTTACAATGCCATAGAATCTATTGATGAAAACCTTTTCGTCGATCAAGGAAATCTAATTGATCTGTTTCTTAGTCATAATTTAATCTCAAGAATCCTGAAAAACAGCTTTCTTGGACTTTCCAGCCTTCAAGTATTAGATTTGGAAAGCAACGAAATCGAAGACATACATCCTGATGCTTTCGTTCATTTTAAAGACCTGAGAGATTTGTAAGTACTATTTTTAATACAATATCTGTTCTAAAAAAATTAAGCCTTAAACATACTACGCATATTTTTGAAATATTCCTGTTATTGGAATAAACAGTTATTTTCTGTAAAATTAGAGAGCTTTGCGAGGCTATACAAGACACCCTACTCTAATTATTTGGCTGTATGTTATTGACTTGCTGTAAGTCTTAATGGAGATCTTTTCAGCCTGGACTACAAATATAAATTACCAATGAAAGAGCTATGGCTTGCCTACTACTAAATAAAATTTTGTGAACTTTAAAATCGATTATGCTGTTTACAAATTATTAAGCTGTTCATCAAAACAATCAATTTAAAATTTAAAGTTTGATTAACGTTTTTTGAATAATTGTTTATTAATATTTTAACTTATTTTTGAACTCATGCTCAGTTTTGTTTCTCAGTTGACAAGATTCATGATGCAAAATTTTATGGATCTCTGATTACATTTGACGTGCAAGAGACGGTATAAATGTAGAGAAGTGAAAACATATTAGTTTAATTTGTATGGAAATGTCCTAGAGTATTCCGCGTATGTATTTGCATATGCTTCTGTATCTCATATGTAAATATAGAAATTCCATATGTATTCCATAGGCATGTGTATAAATTAAATATGTATATGCAAAAATAAGCATAACATGCAAAATTATGCTTCTAAAATGCTTTTGTGTCTCAAAGTTAAGTCTAGTTTGCTACTCTTGCTAAGTGAAAGTTTAAATCAAACAGATCAACAGAAATTTCTCTGGAGGCATTTTCCCTTGGTTAGATGGAAACCTGACTGAACAAAATGTACTTATCTGCCATAATAGACAGAAATTCAATAAAATAGTAAGAAATATAATATAATATGTAGCTTCTTTTTATATTATGTTTATCACAGGTACGAATATTGTATAACATATTTTAATTATAGTGAATGGGCATATATTCCTAAAACTAAATAAAAATAAGACCTCTGCTTATTTTTTAACACATCCAAACTCTCCGTACACCACATATGTACAACGCGGGTTTTACGAAAGTAAGTTAATTAACACATTAAATATTACATCCATTAAAAAAACAATAACAGAAAGATGCAGGTAAGTTCGCTAGCCAATCACACCTAGCAATTTTATATCGTTCTGAAGACATAATCTATTTCCATTGAAAGTAGGGCAGGAAAAAATTAAATGTTTCAAGTCTTGAGGTACATTTTTCGAATACTCATATAAGTTAACTGATCTTAGATTGAAGCGAAACAGGTAACTTGCAAATTTACCGTGTCTAGATAAAAACGAGGATACTTTAAAATTTATAAAAAAGACTGACATGGAATATAGTCTGTCTAAATAGAAGGAAAGAATTTTTTGCTTTGCCCGATAGTGCAAGATGAAATAGATTTCTGATTCCGTTTAGATAAAAGCTTTTCATAGTAAAAGGACTTCCAATAACTCTTTGAAATATTTATATTGAGGCCGATGGTTAAATTTAAAGCATCTTTGGCTCAGAAACCAGCTCTTTGATTTTCGTAACTTCCAAGGTCACCATGCATATAACGAATATCAACCCCTCTAAGGGAACTGGAAACTAAGAAAGTTTCGATTACCAGTTTGTAGAGGCTAATCAGAAAGTGGAGAGAAAAAGAGAATCAGAACACTTAAGGTACCTTGAGGATGCAATCCCATTATCCTTGATCCACCTGACGGCAAGATAAATGCAGAGGAGTCCTGCTTGAAAAACTATACGTTAATTTCGAATACGATGATTAAAATAGCAAACTTGATATTGGTCATAAAAATACCAGACCAACCTTATTGTACATTTTATTGGCATCTATAAATTAAACAAAACAAATACTTTTCAACCGTCTATTAAAAATCACAGAAATTTATATACTCCAAATTAGATGGATGAGGAATATCGGGAAAAGATACATTTCCCTTTATGCAATCTTCCAGAGAGAGTATCATTTGACACTGCATCGAAAACCTTACATTCAGTTTCGAAATCAATAGGCAGAATTACTGCAAGAATAAAAGTAGCTTCATATAATTTAGTGTTCTTTAACCACTGATATTATACAGAACAATTCTTCGTTGAGTTTCTCTCAAAATTCTTTTGTTAATCTTCTTTGAAAAAGCATATCTTCAAGTAGAAGAGCCATACGAAATGAAAGGCACAATACACAGCTTACATATTGATTTCTTGACATCATATTTTACCCAAAAGTATGTATTTTTGGCAATTCAGTAAAAACTATTAATAATTTTTTCGTATTTTGTAGAAAGGAATTCAGTGTGCTTTTTCCATGGGAATGTTTGGTCGAGTAGGACACCATTGTACTGAGAGCCCAATTGGGAAAAAAATCCGACATTTTTGTGCTTTAAATAAAATACTATGAAAAGCTTTCGGTGGAAAATTAAAAGTAAGTGGCCTGCTAGTGCAGTTTTTAAACAACCGTGGAGGTGACTTTAAAGGTCATTTATTATTATGTTCCAAAGAGTAGAACCGGAAAGAACAACCTTTTCCAGAGAACAAACCTTACTTTTTGACCCAAGCAAAAGCTTAGAGGTCTTTTCGCTTAAGAAGCTTTTAAGCAGGTTATAAATTATATGTGCTATGTCAGCATCTTTTCGAATTTTTAAGATAAACAGCTACCAAGCATTATCTTAAGCACCTTTGAAATCGAAACAAATAAGATCTTTGTAAACTTTATTTGCTTCCCATACCGTAAGATATCGTTGAGGCGAAGAACGGCATCTTCACCAGTTCCGATGGGTAAACCCGAACTGAGAATCACTATAAAATGTTTCTGTCTCAGATATCAGTTTTTTTCTATTAATGAATAGATTCTTTTGTTAATTTAGCCTTATCATTATGTTTCAATTGAAAATATTTAATTTTATAGATATCTTTAAGAATACTGTTCCTTTCTCTCTGGAATCTACGCCTTTCAGCATTTATATCTCCCTATAACAATCAATTTCCTTAAACCACCAAAGAATACCATTCTTCATATTTTTATTCATCGGAACTGATAATGAAGTACATCTAAAACTCGCGGTAGAAAGATTATTTACAACATTGTTTAATGTAATCCAATCAAAGCGCCTATCAAGAAGAATATTCACGTCATACATTTCTCTCTTATACAGCTCTGTACATAATGACCAGTTTTAATTTTTAATTTAAGACCAGTTTTTAAATTAAAAGTACTCGAATAAGAAGATATATTCGGAAGATACATATCAAGTTCAAATATAATCATTTTACTATCATAAAGGGAGTCTTCCTCGGAACTATCATAACGTTGAATGTATGGAAGAAATTCCAAGTTACAAACTGTAATGTCAATATAACCAGAGCATTGATTGGAACTGAAAGTATGTCCACGATTTTCATAATTACGAAAAAGTGAATCCTATTAATAAAATCGCCAATCTTCGTTTCTCTACTATCTGAAATAGGACTATGCCAGATCTCTCATTTTCTGTTGGAATCCATACCACATTTTATTGATGTTATTATCACTATCAATTACCTATTGATGTTATTAAATACTGTCAATAACTATATTAAGAGAAAAATGTACACTGTGAATGCTTCGAACTAGAAAACACTGAGGTTACTTATTGGAAATCCATTATTTCTAAAAATGTTATTGCAAACACAATAAAAATTAAGATGTAAGGACTAAAAACTTTTGCACAGAATATATTGACTTCCGCGAAGAAATCAACAAACATACAGATATATTACTTAAGACCGGCATATCACTTAACTGCATTATTCAACAGTTATCGTAATAGTACATAATTTAATACGTAATTTTCCCATGATTGTCTGTCACACCCCATTTTTGAGAAATTTATGTTCAGTGTCACTAAAGTCTTCTTTAAGATAGTTATTGGATAATATTTTTTAATTTTTTAGCACAAAGGGCGTTAGCCGAGAAGAGCTATTAGAGTTTTGGCATTTTGCTTTGGTTCACTATAAATGCCGGTTCATTTTTCAGTTTGTTGCCACCAAATATTAGAGCCCTGTGTTATATTTAAAGAAATTAAATAATGAAGAATCCGCATAAATGTATACATGTTTCTTGCATTGTAATAAAACAATGGTACCTAGAGCCATCAAATTTTCAATAACGTAATCTTTCCATAAATATGGGTATCTGGAAGCCCGAATTTGGAATTTGAAATTTGTTTTATTATCCATTTCATATTTTGTAACAATTTAACAAATCTTTATTAACAAACTCAACAATTTCAGAGCGAGCAATGGCAATACTGTACGAAAAAAAAAAAAAAAAAAAAACATTTTTATCTTCAGCGCGAGACAGTGTATCGGAAATTCTAAAGATATGCTCATTTTAAAATTATTTTGCAATATTGCTATTGAATTGAATTTTATGGTTTAAGTAAGAATAACATGATATTTAATAAATAAAGGTAGCACACAACACTTGCTCTGTTTTCAGGAGCGAGTTAATTGCGATTAATGTGGGGCTTGATGCTATCATGTCTTATGATTGTGATTTTGGGGAACTACGGATTTTATCGGACAGCTGCAGTGCACAACATCTTACTGGCTCTTCCTCCGCAAACGATGAAACCAGCGTATCTATTCTGCTCAAACTGAGGAAGATCTCTCAGGACCACGATGTTCACCTCCAGTGGCCCCCATCACATGTTAACAGTAGTGGTAATGAGGTCGCTTGAAAGACTCGCGAAAGAGGGTAGTGAGAATGAAACGGTCACTGGCTCTTAACTTACTTCCCAGGAAATTCACTCAAATGAGATATATAAACTCAATTTAATATGGCGTATTCCGCCCACGCACTAATGGTGCACAAGAATATCCCCTGGCTCTCTGCTAGAAATCAAATGTGACCGTAACTCAGAGATTTCTCTGGCTAGACTAACAAGTGGCCACCTTAAATGTCTTTCCTTTGATAGTGGCAGAAAAATCCACCCATCTTGTAAAAACTTCTGTGACCATCCAGCTTCACCGGATCACATACTGGGTTGCACCGGACTTTCTAAGGGGGACATAACATCCGATCCCCTTATTGTTATTGATTTTTTAACGGTCAACAACCTTCTGGACCTGATCTGGCATATGTCAGATCTTTCGAGGATAAGCAACAACAACAGCACACAAAACGTTAAAAAAAAGTTAGCCGTAATGTAAAATCTGAAAGCTTTCAGATTTTATTTTTTAATATATTTTTGTTGACGATAATTTTATTTATTAGCTATTTTATTTGTCAGCTATGCTAATTTTTACATTTTTTTCATTTTTTTATGATTTTAAAAAACTGTGCAGTATTCTCATTATTTATAAAAGGGTTCATTTCTTTTCAAGAACTATAAGAGCCTTTAGGACCGAATATTTCAGCATTCTGTGTTCCTGCATAATAATATGGTATTTTATTTGCAATCTTTCCTTTCCTTTTTATGTTATATCCTGTTTAGATACTTAAACCTGCAAATAAAAATAAGTACCAATTAAAAATTGTGCACTTGCATGGCTTATGTTTTACCCATAAATCATATTCATGTGTATTTCTTTATTTAATTCCCATACCCAATAAATGATTTCCGTCGCTAGGAGGAAAATTAATACATAATATTTCTTTCCTATCTCGCTAGAGATTAGCTATTTCTCAACTTACCGCCAAATTTCCACCTACTTTCCCTCTGTCAAAAAGTTGCATAGTAGTATTAACAGTTAAGTATAGGGTAACTTATTAATTTTAGTGCTAAAATTGTGTTACCTTTTGCCACAAGTTAACATTTTTCCTATTTTCACATTAATTTTACATTCATCTGAAACATTTTATTTACTTGCTTCTTCCAGTAAATTCAGTAATCTTCCAGTAAGCTAATGATTTATACAGTAGCAAACAATTCCAGTCTACAAATTTTTATGAACTTATATATTGTTTTATAAACTTATGACTTTTAATTTCTTACATTTTATATGAACGATAGTCAAATTCCAAAATATTTTACTGGTTTTGATGGGTCATTCCTCTCAGCAAATGCCTTATTAACCTCACGTAGTATGGATATATTTCATTAGTTTTAGCATTTGTCTTTTCTTTTAATCTTTCTGATCTGGTCAATATTAAATTAATACCAAATTCTGTTTTACAGATTTAATTTAATGGATTTTCTGATTTATCTTCTAGCTGACTTATACTCTACAATCATAAATTTACTAAACCAGATCGAAGGTGTGTAACTCCATACCTAATGGTCCTCTGAGGTCATAAGTTAGCTATGTTGTTTTTTTATTTATTTATTATTGTTTTTGCTGTTGAATTCACTGAACATTCTTGAGTTTTCATTGAATCCGAGGTTTAATTCTAACATCCGCTTCATTTCCTTAAAGATTATTTTCTGTAATTTAACGCAGAATTATGCTTCTGCGTTAATGTCGTTATATGCCCCTGTTCTTTCTATTTACTACTTACTTCTAAAGAGTATTTTATATCTTGAAGCCCTTACGTTTTGCATTCAAAATTTTTTAAACTTCTAATGTTTTGATAGGTTATGTTCTAATTTTGAACTTTTACGAAAGCAGAATTTTTTCTGCTGATGTCTCTATCACCTAGAGGCCTTATTTTATTTCTTGTAAGTTTAACTCTTTGTTTTATCCACAAGAACAACTTGCTTTTCTATTTTCAGTCTGTAATTTTATCCATCAATTAAGGTATAATTTGTTATTTTTGTTTAATTTCATGTTTTATATTTCAACTACGTGCAATCAGTCCAAAGTTATACAGTCACCACATCATACGGACACGAATTCTGTTGGTTTTAATAAAAGAGCTAGTCTTCTGGGGATCCGAACACTACTGCATGTATTAGCTCCAGAACTGCCACTGTTATCCAAGTAGTGAGATACGATCCAAGGAACCATAACTGTTTTAATGATCCATTTGGGGTTCCGCCTTAATACGGTATATATTTGATCATGCATGCCTTAATCTTTGAAACAAGCATATTACTAGTAGCAGGACCCACCATGCAGCTCTTTCAAGTTCACAGAACTTTCGAGCTGTCTTCATTTCGAATCTGCCAGTGATAGAGCATACCTTGGAAATGCGCTGGTACCGCTATCTGACGACGGCCCTTTCGTTTATTTTACAAGCATAAAATCTCAATTTGTGGTTAAGAATTTATTATGGCATATAGCCCCAAATTGACCTGATTTTGAAAAATCGTTGGAATGACGGAATTAGAAGAACTGATTACAAAGCAATCTCGGCTGAAGACATTTCGCTTAGTCGTGGAAAAGAATATTACAGAGTTAAAAAGGAGATCAAAATTTTTGCCTTTCAAGTTAATATCACAGGCTGTGCGAACTTTTCAATTTTTTTCTAAAACTTGAAATCACTGTAGTGAACTTCGAAGAAGATTTGTTGTCGGAATTCAGATAAAATGATAGGTTAACAATTAGTGACACGAAATCACAAAAAAAAATGTCATCTATAACTTACTACCATACTCAGATCGGAAACATGACCATTTCTACTTGCAGAATGAAATGAGAGCTCGCTATATTGGAATTAAACAGATGTATTGCAAACCGAAAAGCCATTTGCTAATGACACTAAATTGGAAAGAGGGAACTCCAGCTTGCGAAAGGAATTACAGATGGACGTTAAAACAATCGGAAGAGATTATGTATCTCGATGAGTAGAAGCTCATGCTTCTTTTAGCATGACGGGCTAATCAGGATTAGCAAAGAAGCAGTTGTAATGTTAAACCCTTCATGTATTATACTCATTATTCAAAGCTCAGGATATCTGTTATATATGATCTGCTGTTGCTTTTGTTTGCTGAACGAAGCTTAGAAGCATTGTGCAAAGAGAAAATGAAGTCAATTCAGTATCTAAATATATTGAATGACATTCCCCTTATTTCATCAACAGAATTCTTTTCTGAAGTCAGTGGTGTATTCCAAGATGATGATGATAGTGCCAAGACTCATTGAATTCAAACTGAAAACGTTTGATTCTAGATACCAGTCACCATGGAATGACCATCAACTCAAACGAGGATACGTGTGATATACTAGTAAAGAATTAAAGCAATGGTTCGAAGCTTCTTTCATCTCATCAAAACTGCAGAGAACTGTTAACGCAACGCTGCTTAAAAATAAATGCAAAGACTATGCATAAACAATGTCATGAAATGTGAGTTGTAGTTTGTGTCTGGCGAAATATTACAGTGCGCGACTTGTTTAAGCGAGCGTCTAAACGCAAATTTTTCCTAACACTTTTATTTTCTCATGTTGACATATTCATGGTTTTCTTTTATTCCAAAGTTTTTCTAATTTTATCTATGTTTAAAATCTTTTGCCTTAAAGTGGAAAGGTATATCCCATTTCAGCTACCAGCTCCCTTCAATTCTTCATAATGGGTTCTAGCCATCTTTCAAAGTCACATCCTTTCAGGAATTCATTTTCATCCAAATATTAGAAAGCGAATTGGAATTGTACATACATTATTTCTATTTAGTTTGGCTGCATAACATCATTCTTGCTTTTAGTGCCGATTTAATACGTTTTTAGAAACCCTGGTGAACTCAAAATTACAGTGAACTCAAAATACTTTCACATGTAAATTAGCGGTTACTTTTTACGCCTTTCTGACTTACAAAAGGTTTCATGTTAATATCGTACTTTCATCAATTGGGAGTGACTTATACCTGCATAACCTTATTACACAAGAGTGTCAAATTTAATTTCATTTTGAAACTTTATTCCTGAAATATTTACAAACATACAGATTATACTTAACTTTTGGACACAAATCTGTTTTAGAATGTGAACAAAAAATAAAGCTTTGTAATTATAATCTTCCATGTCAACAGGATTAATTTGAAATGTTTATTTCAGAAATCTGGGAGCTAATTCGTTTCCAAAATTGCCAACTCAAGGACTTGAAAATTTAAGACAACTTAAAACGTTCAATAATAGGAACTTGAAAGAATTTCCTCCAGTAGAAACATTTCCAAGGATAAATACGCTCGCTTTGTCGTATGCCTATCATTGTTGTGAATTCATAGCCTCGGCTGGACGTAGGACTTCCTCACCAAGATCATCAACTTCTCTTCAAGAAACGATTGTATGGCTGTCAAAGGATGATGTTGACATGGCTTCTTGGAAAAACTCAAATTTAACTGACATTTGGCCGGGATCGGAGGAACAAATGCTTCATCGTAAGAAAGCACATGTATTGTGTATTTTAAAAAAATGCTAAGCAATTGGTCCTGAAATGTATGAGTTTATAAAATATTTAAATATAAAGAATAATTTAATTATTTGTATACAAAAAAACTAAATAGTAATAATTAAATACAAATAATTCCTCTGTTATGTATACCTAACTGAGGAATTATTTATTCTCATTATTTGTTGTGAGGAATGATAGTAAAAGATTTTTTTATTTGATTTAGAATTTTGTTTCTAAAGATTTGTTTTACTTGCAGCTACGTAATTGCATTAACTAATAATATGAAGAATTTTTGATAATTTTTTTAACACGTAAAGTCAAATTTTGAATTAACTTTTTTCATTCAGGTTAGTGAGTTAAATTATGTCCTATCATCAATTATGCAATATATTTTGATATACGGTCATTGAACAAATCTGACAATGATATAGGTGTATGCATGTACAGGTGTCATGTTTTAGAGTGCAAATTATTATTATTTTTTTTTTGGTTTGTTTTGTTAACAAAAAAAAATTATTTTTCTTTCTTCGTTCTTTTATTTATTGATTTATGTATTGTGGCCCGCCGGCTATTTTTAAATCGGGCCCGCGTGCAGTTTGAGTTTGAAACCACTGCGATAATGTATTAAACTTGAATTTTTAAGTGAAGTATCCCCACCTTTTTTTTTTTAACTTGAAGCATAAATGAACAGGAAACAGATGGTCTTTTAAATCTGTTTCAATTTTTAGACTCTAATTAGTAATACTTATTTCAACGTTCAATACTTTTGTGGCTAGAACAACTGAAACAAGTCGGAAAGAGAGACAAATTCAATGAGAAAGTTCATTTGCTTTGGTACTTCAAAAAAATTTAAGTTCGCTTAGCCGTTCGAAGTCTCAGTGGATTTGTTGGAACGAAACTTGTTTTAGTTGGCCTAAGTAATCAACTTGGTTTGAAGCTTTAAAACGCCTTTCCCTTGACAAATCCTGTGTCAAGCTTTGAACAATAGAAATTAAAAAATGTTTTTGGTTACTCATATGATTCCATTTTTCATGCTATATAAGCATTTTCGGTTCAAATATTGTTTATTAATTTTTTTTATTTTTGCAATGTGTTTCGGAAAAAAGGAAAAAGTAGCATTTAAGTACTCTTACGACTTTTTCTAGGTATTTTAATCCTAACTTTTTAAAACATATATATATATGATTTATTTCCTAAACAATATTGATTAATTGATTATGCTATCTCCTAAGTTTAATTAAAGTAGAATTATTTTAAAAGAGTGAATCCATACTGCTAAGTTATATTTTGAAAGATATTTTGAAGTAACTTGAAAGTAAAATGTTAATAATGTTTTAACGGGGACTGGAATTAAATAATCATGAAGAACAAAATTTCAATTGTAAAAGGAAAAATTAAATTAAAAGCATGTAATCATTGTCATTGATCGGAAATTAGTTGACTTTTCAAGGGGAACAAACCAACTCCCGTTCAATGAACAATAATTAATAAATAAATACGTAAATACGAAGGTGTTTCGTCTTATATCATAATGTCTTACTTATAAATTAAGAAATATATATATATATCTTCACTTTTAAATTCTCACATTTTTTCACTGTAATTCTTATAATATTGTAAACTACAGATCCAGGTTTTTACTTAAACTTATTTGACAGATACATTGTCATTGTTATTTCTAGTTAGTGTTCTTTCCTATTCTCAGAAAACGATGTATATATTTTTATATAAAAACTTTGAATTTTTGAAATGTAGGTAATTTTTCTACAAAATTTGAGGAGCTTGCGAATCAGCTATTTAAGACATTTGGAAGAGACTACACAATACCTGACAATCTGGCTCAATATGCCGAAGAATATTTCGAAGATTACAAGTCAGCATTCAACAATGAAGAAAATCCCTTGGCACGATTTTCACTTCAATGTTTGCCTGAACCAGGTGAGTTTATGATTTTCAGCTCTAGAATGCTTAAACAAATTATGATTTCTATTTAGAAACATACATCTTTGTTAAAATTACAACAATAAAAATTCCTACCGAAGTTTTGCAAAATTATTAAAATGTATTTAAAAATCATTTAGGTCCTTTCATGCCTTGTGAAGACCTTTTTGGGTGGTGGAGCCTTCGTTGTGGCGTCTGGGTGGTGTTTCTGCTCGCTCTGCTAGGAAACGGAATAGTTGTAATAGTTCTCATTATTGGGCGAAGTAAGATGGATGTTCCACGCTTCTTAGTGTGCAATTTAGCTGGCGCTGATTTTTTCATGGGCATTTATCTTCGGGATGCTTGCTGTTGTTGATGCTTCAACTCTTGGAGAATTCAAGGTCCTTATTTTATATATCTTTTTATTCTACAGGTTCTTCTCGACTTACAGTGAAGTTATATCAGTAGTAGGAAACGGAGAGTTCACGGGGAGAAGGCGCAGCGAGGAGCAAGTCCGTACGCAGAGGCGCAGCAGATACGAAATGTGTTATGTTTCTTCATTTAACTGATAAGATGACGTTAGACATTGATAAGAGATTATCTTTATTGATTTTCCCAAAGTTCTTTGTTAATCAGTGTTTAGACTTTGTATTTTTTCTCCGGTTTCCAGCTATATTACTCGGTATATGATGGTTATTTCCTAGGTACATTTCAGAGCTCAGTCTCGTATTTAATGATTGATTCAAAAAGCCTTAATTTTAGGTGTAAATTTTTTTATGTTTCCGCATATTTAAGCCTTGTAAGTTCCTATATACTCGGGATTTTCCTTTATTTCTTATATCTTATCTTCATAGTACCACATTTGCTTTCCGTAATCTTAATTACATTACTAATTTTTATTTTTAAATTCATTTTACCCGGACGTTTTTCTTACTTGTCAGCAAATATTTGTAATGTTTTACAAGTGTAATTACTAAAATACGGTTTTTTTTTTTTTTTTTTTTTTTTTTTTTTTTTTTTTTTTCGTTATATTACTCAATGTTAGATGTAATTTTTAACTTTTTTCGTGATTTTTAACGTTAATGATCTTCAACATATTCTGTATTTTAACTTTTTTCTTATATTTTCTGATCATACACATGACCTTTACTTAAGTTTAGATGTAAAATTTTTAGCCGGTTTTGTACATTTTAACCTTCATAATATTCAATGTACCCTAATTTTTAACTAATTTACTATATTTTCGTACTAGTATATATATGACTTTTATTTGATTTCTTTCATGCTTTTTAACATTCATAATTTCCAATATAGTCCTAATAGTAATATAATTCCTATAATTTCAGACAATATACGCAACTTGAATTTAATTTTAGATGTAGATTTTAACTTTCTTACTTTCCAGCATACTCTGAATTTTAACTAATTTACTATATTTTCACACTATGTACATAATTTCCTTTTAATTTATAGCTACTTTCATACGTTTTAACCTTCATAATTTCAAACATACTTTTAATTTTAGCTTAATTCATACATTTTCGAACTATATATATGAACTTTATTTATTTTTGGATGCAAATTTTAGCTTGTCTTATACATGTTAAAGCTTCATAATTTTTAAATTACTCTAATTTTGAACTTGTTTATTAAACTTTCCTACCATATACACTAACTTTAATTAATTTTAGATGTATTTTTTATATTTTTCTGACACTTTTTTCTTTATCAGTATTTAAATGAAATGTAAAAGTTTGTAATGTATTCGTATGAGACCTGAGTAACAAATCCTTTCCTCTAAGCAATAAACGGTAAAAAAGAGTAATCTTATGGTAACTTATCAAAAGACTTAAGCAATAAGAGTAGGGTAAAGAGATATTCATTTAAAACATAATATGAAACAGTTGACAGCTAAATAAAGATACATTTCAATATAAATGAAACCTTTTTTTTTATTAAAATACATACTAAAATAATTTTTTCTTACAAATTTTCTATTCTATCACGTAAAGGTGACAATGAAATATTCTTTAAAAAATCATCACTGGCATAAATATCACAGCAAGTGTCTACATAAAGTTTTTGAGCAAGTCTTTTAAAGTTCATTGACAATATTGCTTTGTTAGCATTATTCATAGCATTTTTCCGAATTGTCTGCATTATACAGGGGTGGCGACACTGACTTGGATGATCGACTGCACATCCCTCACAGATAAATACCTGGTTGAGACTGGTTATGTACTCATCGTAAATAACATTGTTAATATTCTGCATGCATTACTCTCAAGTTAAATATTTCAGTTGCTGGCATTTTAATCGCCGTTTTCTTATCTCATGTGGTAACACATTTTGAAAGAAAACAGTTTGGATACCATGTGTTATTTTACTGTATAAATCTAAAAGTAATAGGGGGACCGGAAAGTAATGTCGTTTCTGCGCATGTCGACAACAACATGCTAAGGGCAGAAGTGGAATCAAATCGATGTCAAACACTCTTAACGAATCTTGGTCGACCATACAAGAACATTTAAAGCAGAATGGAAAAATAAGCAAAGCAGGTGTTTGAGTCCCTTATAATCTGTCCGAAGAGAACAAAGCCAACCGATCCATCACATTCAACGTATTGCTTCAATGGCACCATACAGAACCGTTTTTTGATCATTTGATTACTGGAGACGAAAAATGGGTTCTATATGATAATCCAAAACGCAAAAAGCAATTTTAATAGGGGTTACAAAGGTTTTACATCCCCAAAAGGCTCTTCTGTGTGTTTGGTGGAATATTCGCGGAATTGTTCATTTTGAGTTGCTGAAACCTGCACAAGCTCTTAATGCAGATCTTTAGTGTGATGAATTGGATCGAGTGAACCTATCTTTAATCGAAAAATATCCGGCGATTGTCAATAGAAAAGGCATTATTCTGCAACACGACAACGCAAGACCGCACTGTGCAAGACGGACACTGGAAAAAATGAATGAATTGGGATGGGAGGTGCTGCATCACCCACCACACTCGCCCGATATCGTACACTCGGATTTCCATTTATTCCTATCCCTACAACATTTTCTTATTGCCAAAAAATTTGAAAATTTGAATGATGACCAAAACGCCATCTTGAGATATTTTACTCAAAAACCAATTATTTTTATCGGTCCGGGTATTGAAAATCTGCACACTAGATGGCAAAAGGTTGTTGATAACGAGGCTATTTCATTATTGATTAAAAATTAAAATGTGTTGAAAAGTTATTCGTGTGAATTTAATGTAAGAAAGCGACATTACTTTCCGGTCCCCCTATTATATCGGTCTGATATGATTCTAATTCAAAACAATATGCTACGAGGCTGAAAGCACCGCAGAAGCTTTTAAAAATTTATTGAAAAATACATTTCGCGTTTGCACAAAATACCACCAATTGATTATTGGCTATGAAGGATGCTTCGGAATACTTGAAATTAAATTTTAGTAATTTTTTTATGAAATCATATCACGTCGCAGAAGTCATACTCACACTCTCAAGGGAAGATACACAGTTTAAAATAATTCTTTTCTGCCAAGTTCTGTATATGAATTCGAACGTCATTATTTCTACTCACAACGATGGATATACGAGACATCCGTTCCAACGACCAACAATTGTTCACTTCATCATGATTTCCTGATGACTGATAATGACGACTCAACTAGTCATCCTGCGGTATCTCGAATATTTCATCTTCTAAATGTGCTTTCTTGCACGGAAAAGTCTTTTTCTTCATATTCGGTTTTGGGGTTATGGAGATAATTATGTCGTCATAAAAATGGAAATCCATTTCATCAGGAGAACGCTTCAGTTGCGGAGATATAATTTTTCTAAACGTAAAACTTATTTGAACAGTCTTCAGTTCGGGCTGGGATGGAATACCGTGTTTCCAGACTACATTCGTGGCAGCTTTCATCACTAGAAGCGATTCGTGCTCCGGACTCAAAATGTGAGCCACATAATTCTCTCTTGTAAAATGCATGATAGGGTCCAACCCTATCATAATGATTCATCTAAGGTTGAACACATGGTACAGTTAATATCACCTTAAGTTGGTAAACCAGCGATTAGGGAAGTCAGGACTTGTTAAACTAGGATATGTACATATCCTAGTAATGGTAGTTTAACAGGCCCTCATTTCCTAATCGCTGGTCTACCAACCTAAGGTGGTATCAACTATCTCATCTGTTTAACCTTAGATGAATCATTATGGTAGGGTTGGACATATTAGCATCATTCTTGAAAACAGGATGTTATCGGAATAAATAAGGCGATAATCGATTAAAAGAATGAAATCTTAACGAGATTAATGTATCAAATAATCCGTACTTATCATTAAATGACAGTATAAATAAGTAGTTTAGAAACATCTCATCTCATTAGATTTCTCATTTCATAGCAAATCTTGAAGGATTGTACTTCGAAACAGTTATTCTTAATTTAGAAGATGAGATATAGCACATTTAGAAGATGAGATATTCGAGATACCGCAGGATGACTGGTTGAGTCGTCATTATCAGTCATCAGGAAATCATGATAAAGTGAACAATTGTTGGTCATTGGAACGGATGTCTCGTCTATCCATCGTTGTGAGTACAAATAATAATGTTCGAATTCATATACAGAACTTTGCAGAAAAGTCTAATTTCAACTGTGGATGTTTTCTTGAGGGTGTGAGTATGCCTCATGCGAAGTGGTTATGATCTCATGAACATATTACCAAACTTTAATTTCAGGTATTCCGAAGCATCCTTCATAGCCAATAATCAGTTGGCGGTATTTTGTGCAAACGCGCAATATATTTCTTCAACAAATTTTAAAAGGTTTTGTGGTGGTTTTCGCCTCGTAGCACATTGTTTTGAATCAGATTCATATTAGACCGATATACTTTTAGATTTATACAGAGAAATAACACAGGCTATCCAAACTGCTCTCTTTCAAAATGTGTTACCACATGAGATAAGAAAACGGCGATTAAAATGCCAGCAGCTGAAATATTTAACTTGAGAGTAATGCGTGCAGAATGTTAATGTTATTTACGAGGAGTACATAACCAGTCTCAACCAGGTATTTATCTGTGAGGGATGTGCAGTTGATCATCCAAGTCAGTGTCGCCACCCCTGTACGACGGAGACAATTCGGGAAAAAGCTATGAATAATGCTGACAAAGCAATATTGTCAATGACCTTTAAAAGACTTGCTCAAAAACTTTATGTAGACACTTGCTGTGATATTTATGCCAGTGATGATTTTTTAAAGAAT